ACTGGAAAGAAATTGACCAAAGAAGAAAAATATAAACACACAAAAAAGAAATTTTGCAGACTGTCTTTGATTTGCAATTGTCCTAGCCTAATTAAAACACTGTAATAAAAAAAAAAAAAAGCACTGTAACTAGTTGCTGAGCGTCAGTGGTAACAGAATGTTTGCTTTTGTACTTCAACAAAAAAGCCACACCCCCAGAGCATTCTCTAGAAGCACAGATGGCCCCTAAATTTTAGAAACCTCAAGGAATATTACCTAATGATCCTCTAATTTCCCTTAATGCATATACCCGCTAAGATCAATCCTAGTCAATTTTCACAAGGTAATCAACTAACCTTCTCTCACCAGTGCCGACAATAATGGGTAACACAAAAGCACAACTGCCACATGTAACGAAACAAACCCAGCAAATTAGTGGAGAGCCTGGAAACCATTTCCAAGTCACTTCATACTTAAAATATCCTTCACAGGACAGAATAAATTATCTATCACTCAGAAATTCTTTGAATTAAATTGAAGCGAATTCTGGTTTCCGAGGTTACAGGGAAGTCTGTGTTGAATATGTGACCTCTATGAGGATAAGGACTCTGTGTCCCTCGTGGCTCTAGCACATTGCTCTGGCATCTGACACCCAGAATACGCAATTACAGAATAATTTTTTTTTTGCAGTGTTTACTACAGGAGTTCACAAATTTGTGGTCAGCACACACCAGCTAAATTCCACACCACTAGACAGGGTGGCTGGGGTGCAGCTCACAAACCAGGCAGAGTCAAGGATAGAGCCCTTTAGACTGCTGCTCACACCCAGTGCCCTGGGAAGGGTGGCGGGGTGGTGGGTCTAGCCTGGCCTAAGGGGGAAATTTGCATCACCTGTTAAAACCCTGATCTCTCTTTCTTCTAGCTGTCCCTGGACAACTGGGGTGTCTCCCTAGCACACAGACAAGTGGGACCCCAACACCTCCCCTCAGGTTTCCTGCCTTCTCCTCCCAGGGCAAAATGACCCACAGAGGGACCATGGGCCTGGGGCCGCACCGCCTCACATCCTCTTCCCTGGTTAAGGCTGGATTTTGCTGTTGGTGGTGTAAATCCAGGGCCACAGCTCCTCTCCTAGGTAGCCAGGCCGAAGCCCCACAGACAGTGTGGAGGATGGTGGGCTTCCAAGCCTTCACAGGGCCCTCAGATCCAGATGTGGAAAGTGCTGAGGAAGTCAGGAGCCTTGGAAGAAAATTACTTTAGGTTGGCCTTTTTGGTGAGAGTGTATCACACGTGTCCTTCCACATCATCTTTATTTGGGGCTCAACCCCTGACTCTGCCATTTAGCTGTATAGCCCTGGACAAGCTGCTCAATGTGGAGAGTTCTCAATACTGCGCCTCCTTCAGAAAGGGTCCTGGAACAAACAAACAGCTCGATAGCTACTAAGCACAGCACTGTTTCTTGGCCTCCTCACTTTCGTCAATGCTTATTTGCACCAACACTGACTTTTCAGAATAATTTCTGGACCTCGCTATCCTGGTCACCAACTATCTGCCAAGAATGAAATGTGTGTATGTACATGCACAGAATATATAGCATCTTGCCTGTAAAATGTAGCATGGTTTAACCATAATTTCTATACTTAATTCTAATTTCTCTTCTACCTGTCTCATATGGCTCCTACAAGAGAGAATGAAATATTATTTACAGATCTCTCCACACACGCCACAAGGGAAAAGAAGAATCAAACTGTAAAAAAGAAAGAGATATTTGAAATACTTACACTACACACACACACACACACAATTTTCAAAATCCAATCTGCAATAAAAGTCTCTAAATCCTGTTGTAAAGAAATTATGAAGGAAATGATCACCATTGGCAGAGAGAATTGCCTTCATATGGGTGCTTGTGTGCACAAAGTTCTATGTGGGACAATAATGAAGCTGAGTCCTGAATTTTCTTGTGCTTTTTGTTGATAATACGTCATCAGTGGTGGTTTCCTTCCATCACTTCTACAACATAGCCACTTGGACTCTTACCTTTTCTGCCAAAAACCTACCCAATATAGGACATAAACTTTGAACAGTATTCATTTCAGATTTGTCTAAACATCACCCAACTTAGAATACTTTAACACTATCAAAAAATAAGCTTTGCATCAACAGAGAGTAGCAGGCTGAGAGACTGGAGACTGAAGGTCTACAGGTTCACTTCCAAGAAAGGACTTCTCCTACTCGCTAGTTCCCTACAGCCTGGTACAGAAAGTAAACTCTATAGCTACTACTTCATTGTTCTCAAACTGTTCATTGTCAATTTAGAGTACCAAAAAAAATGTCAAATCAACCAAAGAATGGAGTGAGAAAACTTTTCAGTTCCAGAAGTCCATGTGACTCCAATTTAGAAGTTACAGGATATGAAACATATCAATATTTTCTAAAAAATCATTAAATATCCATTATAAATCATTTTTAATCCATTTAATCCATATCATTCTTCTTGGCTGGTGACTTAGGTACTGAGAACTCAGTCACTTTTCTCTCTAATCTAATTACTGTACTTAGCTGTTCAGTAAGAGCCTGGTCTGTATCTAAATGAGGTAGCCCTAGACCATCTTAAAAATCAAGAAGTTCGGATCCTTTTGCTATCTTAGCTACTAAACAATAACTTTGGGTCCCTGGAAAAACCACTTGTCCTTCTGCTCATGTGTGGAAAATAGTATTATACTAATCTCCTTCCTAGGTTATTGTAAGGCTAAGGGAAACAGTAATTATGAGAATGCTTGAGGAAAAAGTGCTAAACAATGCAAATAATATAGCTGATTTTCCCATTATGCCTAAGAAATGCCTAAAATTCTGGGGCATACATAGATTTTATCCCTTTCCTCTCCTTCCCTTTCTGTTTTTCTATTGCGTTCTTCCTCTGTTCCTGGAGACTGACCCCAGGCCCTCTTCAACTGCTCCCTGAGGACGTTTCAGGGTAAAGCCTAATGATCTAAGAAACCTTATTCTTTTACAACTTTCAACATTTGAAATGTGGTTTTTTGCCCCTTATAGGACTGCAAAGATAAACAACAACAAAAAACACCTGGTAATTGTTTTAACATCGTACTTCTGTAAAGTTCAAAGCACTTTCATTTATCAAAATTTCAGTTAAAGGGGCCAAGGATTTAGCTCAGTGGCACCATGCCTGCCTTGAAAGCGCAAGGTCTGAGTTCAATCCCTGGTACCAAAAACACAGGTTTTTTTTGGAAATCTGTATGGCGATACCTTAAAGAACTAGGACTAAAGATCCCATTTGACCCAGCTATTCCCCTGCTGGGTGTCTTCCCCAAAGAATTAAAAGAATCATAGCACAGCGATATATGTGCACCCATGTTCATAGTGGCACAGTTTGTAATAGCTAAAGCTTGAAAACAGCCCAAGTCCCCATCAACTGAAAACTGGATAAAGATGTGGGTTTTTTATCAAATGGAGTACTACTCGGCCATAAAGAACAAGAAACTAGAGACATATATAGCTAAATGGATGCATATTGAGGCCATACTCTTTAGTGAAATAAATAGGACGCACATGTGTAAATACCGAATAGTTTCTCTGGTGTGAGAAATTGAAAGTGTAAATGAGGATTAAAATGATTAAAACGAATAACTGATAATTTGAAATAGGAAGAAAAGCTCCAAAGGTGTAGGGGAAGTGAGAGGGGAACGGGAAAGGAAAAATTATGAGAAAAGGAAAAAATGGAAACAAAGTCTTTGTAAATAGGGAAGGGTGGAGGGGGTGATGAGAGGACAGGGAATGGAGAAAAAAATAAGAACCAAGATACATAATGTACAGGTACAAGTACCGAATGATAAATGTATTGTATACCTAAAATGTACCAATAAAAGAATTTTAGGAAAAAAAATTTTTTTTCAGTTAAAGTGGGGAAACTATAAAACAAAACCAGGGATTGCTTTCATGATGGCTATGATATGAGATAAAGAATTTTTTTAAAGCAAGCTACAAAAGCACTATTAAACTGAGAGGCAGGTAAGTCTAGCCCTCTAGCTGGTCAAAGTGGTGGAGAACAGGAAGGATAATAGGGTGTATGCTCTCTGCGAACAGATGCCACTTCTAACTTCACCATGTACTCCAGGGACAAGGTCAGAACCGGCCTGTGGCGGGACCCCACCCAAAACCAGCGGACTGCATGGAGGAGAGAATCCTGAAGTCGCCATGTTGTTTACCACATGGCTCAGCATCTGGGCTTCCTGACAGTGGAGGCAGAGTGGGTGGCTTGGAGGAAGGTCACTGGCTCTCAGTCTTCAAGCAACCGGAGCCAGCTCATTTCCCTCAAAGCCAGCCAGGAACAAGGGAAAACGAGCTGTGACTTTCCTAGCTGTGTGTATTCGCCCTTTCCCTGCCTTCCCAGCCCCCCCTATTCCTGGGGCCTGGAGAGGGCTAGGCCCTCCTTCGGAGGCCTGCAGGTGCTTAGGAACTGCCAGAGACAAGGCCAAGCTAGACCTGGGCTGTGCACCTGGCCACAGAGTCCACCGCCTGAGCCTCCAGCCGGCCCTCGCCTCTTCCTCCGAGCCCCACAGGAAGCGACCACAGTGGGACAGGCTGGTACCAGGCTCCAGGGTTGGTTTCTTCTTTCCTTTTTTCCCCTGGCAGTCCCTTTGCAGAGGCTGACAGTGGCTCCAGGCAGAGGCAGCACAAAGCCAGGCTCCGGTGACAGATACTTCCCCTTCCCCTCCCCTCTTCTTCCCTTCCGGTCTCTACCCTTCTCCCCCACTCTTCCCTTGCTGTTTCCCAGCAAACCACGCACATGCACACGCATGCACACGCACACACGCGCGCACGCACGCGTACTCACGTCGGAGCCCGGCGTGCCCGGCTTGCCCGGAGCTCCTGGCTTTCCGGGTTCACCTGGAGGACCCTGAGCAGGAACGGGCGAGGCAGGGAGAGAAAACCGGTGCATAGTTGAGACTCTGGAGATACACTTGGCTGCAAAAGCCCTCTATAGGAACGCGCAGAGGCACTTACCGGGGGCCCCGGGGGACCTTTGGGACCTCGGTCGCCCTGGAGGCACAGAAGAAAGGAAACGCAGGAGCAGCCATGAGTAGGAGGAGCTAGGACCCTCGGGGTCTCTCCCAGGGGACCCCCACTCTCGGCTCCAGCCCCACCTCAGCCCTGCCTAGGCCTGACCTCCAGGGGAGCGGGGATGGAAAGGACAGGCTGGACTCACATCGATGCCGTCGATGCCCGGAACTCCGGGGGGCCCGGGGGGGCCGGGGGGCCCGCGCTCTCCAGGAGGGCCTCTCTGCTAAAACAGCACACTGGGGTCAGGAGCGTGCATTCGCCACCTCCGTCAAACCGAAGTGTGGTCTGAGGGTCGGGCGTCTCCGTGGCAGGCTGGGCAGGAGAAGGGCTGCCTGTGAACCTGGGGAGGGGCCCTGCCGAGAAGGGAGGTGTGTAGCTGGGAGGGCCTCAGGCTCCTTCCCCCAGGGACTAAGCCCGAAACGGGGCTGTTGGAGACTTCCAGGCAATGGGTCCTTGCAAGTCAGTGTCAGGCAAGGAAGGCCAGGCCCGGGCTGTGGAAGGAAATCTTTCTTTGCCAGTAGAAGAGGGGCGGGGGGGGGGGGGGTTGTCCTTGAGTGAGAGTTGGGAGGAACAGGGCAGCCTTGAGCCCCAGCGCTAGCCGGGCCTCCTTTCTGGGCTACCGGCCATGCAGCCCCTTGCATGGGGACTTTGCGTCTCTGTTCCTCGCTGCAAAACAACCACCCTGCCGGGGGAGTGACCTTTGACCGCTCGCACACTGCTAGGCCCCAGCGCTAGAGGGCTGCAGCACCTGAAATCTCACCAACAGGCTGCTTCAGGGAGTGTGGGGTGGTTTGGGTGGGGTGTTTTTGTTTTTGTTTTTGTTGGGGGGGGGTCTGAATTTAAAAAGGAAAAAGAAAGCTCCTTTTATCCAAGAAACCCGTTTTTCTAAACTCCAGGAACAGACAGGTTACAATGAGGTCTTTGTCAGTGAAACCTCACACTCCAGCCTGCGGGAGGGAGGGACGGAGTCTCTGGGACAGACGCTGCGGAATTCTGATGGGCCCGGGGTCGCAGGTTCCCCTGGGTTCCCAGGTTCCCCTGGGTTCCGACCTCGGAGCCTGCAGCCCTTCGAGCAGGACCCGGGTTCGGGGCAGCTCCGGCTGCAGAGCGGAGAGGGACGGGGGACGGCGGCTCCCGCAGGGGCCGGGGCCGGGGCGCTCTTCACCGAGACCGAAGGGGAGGCTGAAGCGAGGCCAACTCCAGCCTTCCGGGCCTGAAACAGGTCGGGGTGCCCTCGCCCGCACCCGACGCCTCACGCCTCTGCGCTCGTGGGGGGAAAGTACAGCCCTCCTGCCCGCAGCTCACCTCGTCGGTGGTCCTGCTGAGCTGTGAGAGAGAGGACGGGGAGAGTGAGGGCGCCCCCGCCCCGCCCACCACTTACCTGCGCGGCACCCAGGCAGAGTGCGCACAGCAGCAGTCCCAGCGCCCGCGCCCCGCGGCCCCAGGCCATGGCCAAGCCCGGCCAACCCCGCTCCTGTCGCCGCTGCCCCGGGCTTCGGTCCGCCACGCGCGGAAAGTGGCTCAGCGCCCCAGAGAGTCTGGTTGCAAAGGTAACCGGGCCAGGGACGCATAAGTCCCCTCTGCTTATGAATGGCCCTGGGGAGGGTCCTGGGGATTGGAGGAGAGCGGGCCGGCAGGGCGGATAGAATGACAACTATGCCTCTTAACCCTTTCCCGAGCCACACTGCCGACCTGGCCCTGCTCGGCTTCGCCCCTCCCATCCGGTGCTCGGCGGTCCGAGGAGCCCCCTCTGTGGACCAGTGGGGCTCCGGGGTTTCTGGGGAGAGGTTTGGGAGTGGAAATGGGGCACCCCCAAAGAGAAGCAGACACCCGGGAGGCTTCGAGCAGCACCTGTGCTTTTTTCACACTGCTGGGTCAGCACTAAAAGCAGACACGAAAGAAAACAAGAAGGGAGGTCGGCGAAGGTGACAGGAGTGGGCTGAGCAGGTGGTCAGGGGACTCACTGGTGTCCTGGCAGGCAGCTCCTGGCAAGTTTCTCTCGATGGTCTCAGAGGGTCGCAATGGATCAGCATCCACTGAAGCTCAAACTGGGGAAGGGCAGAAGACAATTCAGGTTCTCTTGGAAGACAGAGGTGATCATTCAAGAAAGGTGAGTGTTGAAGTGTGGTCTAATCCTTAACTAACCCGAATCTAATTTAAATTTGCTGAGCTCAACGGAGAAGACTTTTCCTTAAATACAAATTTTCTAGTGGAAATGGGCCAGAATCATTGGATGAAGATGTCTTTTGCTCGGATTTACTCCAGAGCAGCTCTGGAAACAGGCACTATATCGACTTCCTACCTCTGCTGATATCACAACCTCGAGGGGTGTGGTGGACCCTATAGCATGAGGTTTGGAGACAGCACGGGGCTGACCAGGTCACTCCACAGCAGGTCTCAGACCTGGCCTTGGGAACCAGGCCTACTGAAGGCCACAGCATGTATATGCTCTCAGATTCTAGCTGGGAGATCAGAAGCAGAGACAGCAAAAAAAGATAGCAAACAGAACAAGTAAAAGACAATGTAGTCCTGGAAAAAAATTTACATACTAAAGAAAGCATTCCCCATGGAGTAGCTACAGTTTAAAATAGAGCAAGATGGATATCTAGGAATTGGGGAAAAAAGATTAAAAATATTTATATTTCATGTAATGTTATTGGTTGAAGATGAATAAACTTCTAGACCTTGAAATCCAAATGTACTTAGACAATTCTTACATTTTTAGCAGATATTAATGGAGGATGCCTATAACAGAAAAGTTGCTTAGTCCAAGTTTGAAAAGAGCTTCAAAAGCAGCAAGACCCAAAAAAAGTCAAATCCCACAAGAAGCCCGGAGGCATGGCTCTTGCTGGTCTGATTGACAGTGTTCCTTGCTGGACATTTCTAATCAGATCCATAATTCTTGGCCAGAAGATTCTACCGGCATTATGCAAATGTCTGATTAAGAATCCAAGTGCAAAATCTGAGCATTGCCTCTTTTCTTTCATCAAATAGGGTTTTCCGTTCCTTTCCACCTGCCCAGTGGATTCTAGATCAGCTAAATTTAGAATGAAGCTAGATATGTTTTTCCACTGCTAAAGAAAACATTCAGCGTTGAGATTACTGGAGGGAAGAATGAAATTGGACTTAAACATGATGAAGTTTTTCCCTTCAACCCATAAAGGTAGAGAAAATTAGGGAAAAGGAAAATTTCCACATTATGAACAGGTAGAACTGGGCACTCCTTTCCACAGCTCCCAACTGTCCTGGACACCTCTTGTTCCACTATTACTGCTTCTCTCAATCCTACTATGCCCTTTCTTCTGAAAATAAATACATCTGCAAAACTGGGTCAAGTGGGATTAAAAAAAAAAGTGAGCAGCTAAATCAAGACATTTTAAGGTGAATGTTATCTAAAAGTTGTATGAGAATTATTCTGACCTGTGAATTTATTGTGAAAATTATTTTAACAGTAGTATGCAGAATCCTGCTTTCCAAACACAGGCTCTTACAGTTAAGGAAACCACTTTAGTCAAACATCGTATTTTTATAAGATTAGTCTTGAGAAGAATTTTATTTGGGTTTTTTTTTAAATTCTAGTGAATATCTTGTAAGAAAGATGAAAATAGAACAAACTTTTTCCTTAATGACTGTTAAATATCTGGCATTTGAAGCATTCACAGAGGGGTAATGTGGGACAGAAAGGCTAATTCACTTGCCCCCATCCACACAACTAGTAAACAGCAGAGATGGCCTTCCAAATTTTCCTGACACTAAAATTAAGAATTTTTTTGTACTAGTCCACTTGACCTCCCTGAATAATATATGCTATCTCCACAATGAATCATGTTTTTGAAGCAGTTAAATAAGGAATTTGGTGACGGAACATTAACATTAAAGATAAATGGAAAAGAGAGAACTAGAAGTAAAAACAGAGAGCTTGTTTCTACCCTCTGCTAGAGAACTTCAGGACCACACTAAGAAACTTTCATAAGAATTCAAAGCTTTCCCCATTTGGTGTGCTTGCTATAGAAATATATCCAGAAGCAAAATTACTAGTGCTCCTCAAAATCAAAAGCTGTGTCCAGATGCAGTTGTATATCCATGTGTATAGCCAAATAACACACAGAAAAAAGAATCAAACTTTTCTTTCCGTAATGACTAGATAAGAATTTGCCAGAATAAGAAATGATGTTATTCCTCCTTCCCAGTCCTCAAAGTAAAAGAACACTCACACTTTATATTCACTAAGTCTTTTGTGAATTGGTAAATCAAAGTAGGCTTGCATTGTATGTGTGTGATATTTTGATTCTGAAAATGTTTCAAGGGCTTAATCACTGAGAAACATTAATTATATGGCTAACCAGGAAACCTATATCCTTTGTTTAGATAGTTCATTAAATTTACTTATTGCAAATGTGAAGTAATTCATTAAACTCTTCTTTCAAAAATGTAATTCTCTCTAGATAAATTGGTACACCTGTTTAAATATGCAAAATGCAATTGTAGCACAAAATAATGGGGAATGAGGTCTGATTCATCTGTAAATACAGGTGGGGTTGTTCAAAGCTCCACATAGGTCAGGGGTTTCTGAACACATCTGCACATCCACATAAACATCACCTACACATTAATAATTATCTGTACAACAACCATTTTTTGGCATGTAGTGTGAATTCCAATTTGCATGCTAATTATTTTGAAGGAACATTGGCAGAGTGCTTTGGTGAAAGTCACTTTCATCATACAAATAAAATGCTGATTTCTGCATGGTTCTCATTTTCATACCTGGAATTATTCTTCGAATATTCGCTGACAAAAAATATATGTGACAAATATTTTAGTATTTCAGTCAACATTTTTGAAGCCCCAAAATAAACCAAGCAGTAAGGAGACATTCTAGGAAAACCAAAGATATTCTTCTTCCCACCATTAGTTTATAAAATGTAAGATGAGAAAAATACAAATAGAGAAATAAAATGTTTTTTAAAGTATTAAGCAGAACGTACAATACCCTAGAAAAATCTTTCTTGACATAAAATGCTTTCCCATTGTCTCAAGGAAAATTGAATGTTTTGAATGTAAAGTATCTGACATCTGTCCAGATTTGGCATTATCTAGTTCCTTTCTATAGGACACTAAAATTATTTGTTTCCAAGTCTAAAATAATGCCCAGCTGACCCTACATTTAAGCAAGGAATACTCTACCCAACACTCTACTCTTTCAATAAGGCTAATGATTTCTACTTATTTTGAGAGGTTGTTAAGAAAGATGAATAAAGTATTTAAGGCCTTCTAAAGAATTAAGCAAAAACAAATTGCAGGCAATTATATTTTCCTCCCAAGAGAGAATTTTAATGACAAACTATGGAACTTGGCACAGGGCTTACATTTTTGCAAACTGAATTACAATTAAATTTTACAAATACAAAACACCTAATAATTAGCTCTTCTGAGAAAATTTCCTGACAGAACACAGGTTTACTTAAGCTTTTGTCTACCTGGTGGAAATAAAGATTTAAATAAATATGGTACCTGAAATCTCAAGATTGCATCCTGCCTTTCAGTTTATGAAGAAATAGTTTCTGTCATTATAAAGGTCTTCTTCTAAGTGATCTTCCTAGTTACTAAGTAGGAGGCTCTGCACTGCTCCCAAATTAGAAATATCCCCAACCACATAAGCCATGTAGTTGCAGACCTAGTGCTAGGAATGAATTAAATATGAGTAGGTAGCACTCTCTTGGATTGTACCAAAGGCTGAAGCAGAAAAGGGAAAAGGAAAGCAGTGGACTTGGAGTTAGCAGAGTCATTTATTCAACATATCTCTACATAATGCATTCATGTGCTTTGAGACAAATAGTATCAAAGACAAAAATGCCAAGTATGGGGGCGGGGATTTAGCTCAGTGGTTCCTCCACCTGCCTCACAAGCGCAAGGTCCCGAGTTCAATCCCTGGTACCAAAGCAAAAAAAAAAATCCAAGTGTAATATCTAAGCCTAAAAGTGCTTTTCATGATAAACACTGTGTAAGTGGAAATGCAGAAATACTAAGGCTAAAGTCATCCAAGAAGGGAATATGTAATATGTAAGTGGGGCCCTGAAGAGCAATGGAGATTTTCATAAGTGGAGATGTAGGGGTGATGGTTAGGATCCTACAGACAGGGAGGGGACAACGAGTCCAAGGGTGGAAGTGTAATGTAGAGCAGAGACCAGGTTAGCTGGGCAGAGTAGACAGCAGATTTTTTTTCACCTAAGACATTTGACTAGCATTGGGTTTGTGATTCTTGCATCATAAGCAAAGATTTTTTTGTCAGGGGGTAGGGATGGGGAAGGAGGAGCTGATTTAAAAGAATGTTTCAAGAAGATTCATTTGATCATAAAACACCTGATTCTTTGAGACAGAGAAGGGTACTGCAGAAAAGCATCAAGAAGTGTTAAACTCTGGTTTGTGATGAAGCATCCTGAGTTCTCCACCAAGTAGAAGGAAAAATCCTCTCCTCATTCCACATCCTCCCTCAGCTCCCATCAGCTCCCTTCAGCTCCCCTTAAACAAAACTCAGAATAGTCTATATTCATCATCTCCGATTCCTCTCCTCATTTTCTCTTGAATCCTTTCTAGTTAAACTTTCATTCCTAAACATTCAAATAGATCTTTGGCCAAATCATGTCATTGATTTCTAAATCCAATGGTCAGGTCTCAGTTCTCATTTCTTTTTGACCTATCCACAGCCTTTGAGTCAATTTCTTATTCCATCCTCCCTGAAACCCTGTTTTCCCTTGACTTTCAGGGCAATCTCCTATTTTTTTTTCTCGTAATATCACACCCTCCTTGTTCTTAATTTTTCTGATAAATGTTCCTCATCTTAGAAACTTCTGTATGTTGGTTATTTCTGGACCCTATCCCAAGACTTCTGTACTATACTTGTGTCTTGTTGACTTCATGGCTTTAAATTCCATAGTTATGTGGATAACTCCTAGCAAGAGCCCAGTTCCCTGCAAAATCTGTCTCTTGTACTCCAGAAGCACACATCTAACTGCCTACTTAATATCTTCCTTAGATATCTAATAAT